AGCTTCAGTGGGTTGCCAGTTGTGATATGGCTGCTCCCTGTTTTTGTGTGCCATTTCTCTGGGTACTCCACACATGCTGAACAGGTGAATAGACGTTTCTAAAATCGCCCTCACTTGATGGATAGTTAGACTCAAGCTCATCCTCTAAGGCAGTGATGTTAAATCCTAGTCCTGGAGTAAACCTGTCTGCTTGGTTTTTCCCCTCCAAATGAACCCTTAATGGTGTTAATTGGTGCCTGTAACAGGTTTGGAGATTATAAATATTATTTTGAAGAACAACACAGGAAATTGAGGAGAGACTGGATAAAGTGCTAATTAAGAATGTTCTGACCAAACACCTCTTAAAATGTAATTAATTGATGAGGAACAGGCCCAACTGGGAATAACACCCTCAGCCAGTGTTTTCCTTATATCTTAGTTAGCACACCTTGAAGAGCGCAGTTCTGAAACTCAATGATTAACACAACTCCCATTCAGCTTTTAAAGAGCTCAGAGCACAGAAGGCCAGAAATAGAAAACTAAAATAAATTAACCTGTGCTTAAGAAGTTGGCGGGAGTAAAAACCAGAAGAGACTTAGGTTAGTAGGGTTAGTTTTAGTTTTGAAACCAATGTTGCAATGCTGAAACACACCTAAACAAGAAGCAGAACCATTACTGGCAGCAATTAGCACAGGTGATTAAACAATCCCAGCAGACACTGGAATACTCCAGACCAGGACTAAGGTGCCTGTAACAGGTATAGAAGACAACTGTAAAGAAATTAACAGGGGTAAAAAAATAGTAAAGAAATTACTAAAAGTGGCTAGATGGACAGAACAGAAATGGAAAATAGAAGCCCTATTTAGTTGTCATTACATGCAGACCTAGCTCTGGGGCCTGGTATCTTAGCATAAACAGTGTATTTTCCTTTCCCCAATATGACTGAAAATGCCCTAAAGGAATGTAGTACAGGCTTACCTGATTTTTGGGAGAAGACGCCTTGGGCTTTGCCAAGTCAGAGAGGGACAAGGCAGGGCGGCTAGCCTTGTGAAGCTCAGCTAGGTCCTGCATGATTGAGTTCAAAGCTTCCTGCTCATCTTGCAGACAAAAAAAAAAAAACACAAATGTAAGCAGATGAGCACTGCACAACCAAGTCCTTGTGATCCGAGACTGAGATTCTGTGCACTCACCACAAGAACAATTATACATATAGGACAAACATAGACCCAAACACGGCCTTTAAGAATGGGAAAACGACTGTGAATACAAATTAAATACATAGAATTACAAGTGCATTTAATAACTTTTTTGAAGCCTGATTTAAAGTAGACCGAATGCATAAGTTGCTTCTACCTTGATTCTGCACAAACGTTTATTTCACTGCACTGCAATAAATATATATTTCCATTATTGATCAAACCAACTTGAAAGCATCACCGCCACCTAAATTGAGTAACGCTGTAAAACAGGTGGCCAATTTCAGTCTAAGAGACATGCAATCCAACAGATTTTTAAGTCTATTGAAAAGTAAGCAAATAACCTCTATAAAAATAAGATTGGATCCTAGGAGCAGGGAAAAGCTGATAAACCGATGCGGTTATGCCAATAATTAGCTCAATTGGCTCATTAAGAGCTAAGATAGAATGAAAACGAGCAGAAACAGCAGCCACGCATAATTGGAGCTGAATAATCCTTCCTTGAAACCTAAAAAAACAGCCTCAAGCTTAGAACTAACACTTAGAATGTGAAATCAAGTTGTCTCTGCTTTTAAAAAAACATAAGACTTGATCTGCAGTGCTATCACTTTTATTTGTAAACTTTAAGTTCTCATGCAAGTTCTTTAAGGTCTGGTTTGCACATTTCAGGTGGATATAGACCATGGTTCAGTTACTCACATTTCTTTTCTGCAAACACCACAACCTTTTAGAATAACACCCAAAAGCTTTTTGTTACGCTCAGCCCAATTCGTGATCTTATTTTATGTTTCTGTTTAATTTTGTTTCCTCAATTAATTTGTGTATTTGAAGCTTTGAAGAACCATCACTGAAGTCTAACAGCATACTATGAAGTCTGACGACTAATAGCATACTACAATGCTTACCAACAGCAGCATGAGTTTCTTATATAAAAATGTCATTGTGTATATAATGTCCCCCTTGCCAAAATCTAAACCTGAAGATTTCTTCCCTCTGAAATTATGAAACTTCACAATTACATTCATTCATGAATTGGTTAGAAATACAAACAAAAAAATTAGATATAGTGCTTGTTTTACAAGGATGCAGCATTGCAATAAGTGACAAATGGAATACAATGAAATTTTAATTTTGGAGATTCCCCAATTACAACTGCGATGTAAATATTTCTCTTCATAAGGTTTAGTCAATTTTGAATTTTTGGGCTATATTAGAATATAATCCGAATTATATGGAGGATAACAGCCTCTTGGGTGGGCCTGAATTAAAATGAGAATGAATCACAAAACAAAATGGAAACACAGACAGCCATCTCTAGCCAGAATGCTGGACCATTTGGGGCATTGATTATGGCTGGTGAAAATGAGGCATACTAATTGACAAGAAGCATAAAACCTCCTCAGCAGTCATCAGCAGTGCAATATTATCTTGAGGAACAGACTGAATCAATCTCCATGGGGCTTATTAAAACACTGATATGCTGTAGCAGTGACTGCACATAATGTGCATCCTGTCATCAAGGATGGTACAGTAGGCAGCTCTGAAGTACAATTTGGATCTAGCCAAAATGCATCACACAAATTCAGTATAATTTTCAAATGATTTTGCCTGGTTAAACTACAGTAACATTAACCATGATATGTATTTACTGACGAGTGCAGTATGCAATAAACATATCTCCTGGAAGCACTGGCTCATAAATAATTAAGTGGGAAACTATTGTTGTAGCACTTGAATGAACAACTCCAGGGTATTCTAGGACCTCGTTATTAATAACTGATCTGAAATATTACACTTGTCAGTTTATCGGCTCGTCAAAAGCTAGAATTAGGGAGCTTGTTACAACTAGCTTATCCGTCTGGATTGTTACGGATCATTCTAAATTGTCCGATAAAATAACTAATGTTGGTGAAGTTTCGAGAAAACTAAGCCATGATCTAGTTAGGATCACAGTACTGGTTCTGGGAGGACATAAAAGTTACATAAAAGTTAAAGAGCTCTATTTTACTAACCACTATACCAAGTCTAAAGCACTGGATACATCTCTGAAGAAGCTGTTGCTGTTCCAAAATGCTGTAGAACCTCACTGTACTGAAAAGCCTAAAGCTGTACAGATTGCAGTTTAGCATGATATTTTATCTTTAATTCGTACTAATACAAAGACACAAAGTTTCTAAAAAGATGCTTCCTTTTTATTTTTGTGCAAGTTAACTCCGGGTTCATCAACTTCCCTATACAAACGTCTGTTTCTGTACACCCACAAACTAAGAAACATACACATTTGTTGGCAACACACAAAACTAATGATACGTTTTTATTCATATTCCCCTGACGACACAAAGAAGAGTTTGCATTAAGTGAATGTTTCGACATTCGATGTTAACATTTGTAAGAGCAGACTTTTCAATAAAGTCAGAACATGCTTCTCCTGACGGCTGGAGTTGTTGCACTTTTGCCTCGTTCCATGAAATTGGTCTTCTTACACACAACACCAACAGCGACTTCCAATCCATTTGTGAATAATCTGTCAGCAATGTCACATCCTATGAAAAACAACTTTCATAAAAAAAAGTGGCTCGGATCTCTTGCATCATTGTAGGGGATCTAAATGCTTTGACTCCTCATAAAACAAAATCCCTAATATTTCAGATACCAAAGCACTAAAGCTTCTTTATTTAGTGACAAAAACAAGCATACATAGGAAAAAAACAACAATTTGGGAATCACAATCCATGCTGTTTGTAGGGGCGACAGCATCACAAGCACTCTTCCCTAGCACACATTTTCAGCTTCCAAAGTGGCGTGAGATGAATGGGGTTGATAAGGGATTCATGCTTCAAATAAACCTGCCCATGTTATTTACCGTCAGAAATGTTTTAGTTCAAACTTCCTAACTGATTTGTGTAAGGTCATATTTTAGGTATTTATCTTAAAATCAAAGTTTTAAAAACCAAAGACGGACTCATTGGAACACATCAACATCTTGAAATGGAACAAGTAATCGGTTTATTCCATGCTGAAAAAAGGAAGACAGAAACCACAACGTTTCGGCCATGGAGCCTTCTTCAGATTGTTCACACCTGTTTTCTTTCTTCTTTTTTGCAGCATGGAATAAACCAATTACTTGTTTCTTTGCAGCCTACGCATGCTGACGCAGCTATCCACCTGAACATCTTGAAATGTCTAATTATTAATGACATTTCTTTTTATTCCAAGTGCACCTTTCATCCCAAAAGCCTCCCAAAGTGCTTTATATACGGTGGAAGAACAGCATCCACCTGGATGAACCACGGCAAGCAACCAACATATATGAACACATAGCACTACACAGCACATTGGACAAACATGTGAGCTAGTTTTTCCAACATATTAATGAAGGGAGAACCAGCTTTTGCACGTAGAGAGAGATTTAACCAGGACGCCCCTACACTATCCACACTCCTACTCTTTCAAATAACAACATAAAATCTTTCATCTTTGATGGACAAACAGTCTCGACTTCATTTTATATCTCATCCAAAGGACAGCACTGTACAGAGGACAGTACAGTGACCTCGGTGGTCATATCGGAGCACTGACTTTGGAAATTCTGGTCCAGAGGAAAGAGGGACACTTTCTCCTCCATTAACACAATTTGCAGCAGCAACCTGGTTTTCCTTACAATATAATGTGTTGATGCGTTCTCAATGAGTGAGGAAAGGAATGCAGGCAGAAAAACATCAGGGCACTTTTGTCTACCAGTCAGTTCTTCTCCTTCAAATTCTGGCTTTGGAGAGATCAAACCCCAAAAAAGTGTTCAAACAGGTGAACAGCAGAAAATGGATTTCTACCATCCCTTGTCACAACTATTCATGCTGATAACCTTACGTGCCACTAAGTGAAACAATTCTATTTACTTATCTTGCAAGTACAGACAACTGAGCTTTTGTCCTTGTTGAAAAAGGCTCTGTGATTTGTCACCCTGTACATGAACAACTGCTTTCAAGTATTTAGTCTCCCAGGTGACTTTTTTTTTTAGCGTAACAGTAACTTTTTTCCTCCCGATTATTCTGTGCCAAGAAAGTGCAAGTAATTAGGTCATTTCATGTGAAACAAATGTTTACAAGAATCTGTCTTCCTCTTACCCATCACGACAGAACGCTGAGGGACCCAGGGTTCAAGAAAAGAAGATTCTCCCATCAGCAGTCTCTTTTCTTCCTGAAGAACAGAGCAGTGAAGGTCAGTTAAAAAAAACTCAACCAATTTTAAGAAATTAAGTACAAACATCTCAAGCGAAACAGTTTCTATTTGAAAGTGCATTTCTTTAATTTACGTGCTTTAAGGAATGTTACCTCAACCAAGAGGCCCAAATGGAAGTAGGCTGACATTAACAAGTAAGGAGGCAATATTTTTAAGTGTTTGTAAGAATCTAGAACATGCGACCCAGCTATTTTGTGGAGGCTAACACAATACCTTATTTAAATCTTGATCAGGTCCTTGAATCATGTAAGCTATTAACAACATCCACTCAACCAATTTCTAACCACTTCATCCCCTTCAAGGTCATGGCACAGTCAGCTGCAAGTCAAACACAGACATAAACACACCAGGGCCCACTTTCCCAGAAGCCAATTTAACCAAGCAGCACGGTCTTGGATTGTGGGAGGAAACAAGATCACCTGAAGGAAACTCCATGCAGATAGGCTCCAGGACAGGTGAGACAGCAGTGCTTACCACTATGCCCACTTGATCTAAATGCACTGAACCTCCTGCTTGCAACACTTTGTAAGTTCTGATGAAGTTGTGGATTTTCTGCACAGGTCCGTGTCCAATCAGTGTTGCACAGCGCAGCAGCAAAACTGGTACTTCGTTTTGATGTTGTGATAAACACCTATTCATTCTGATAGGAGGCTATTTCAAAACACTGCTAAACATTTAATAAAAAAAGAATGAAAATCACTCTCAATCGCTTTCAGCAGCTCAGAATCACCATTGTGATGTACGTCCTTTGTACCTGCCAATGTTAAATGTCATTTGCCAAGTGCAAACCCAAGTCTTTTTGGAATTCTCTTTCTGCTGTCCCTCCACTTAAAATATTTATCTTCTGCAAATGTAATTATGTTGTTAATTAATAATAATAACCAGCTATCAGTGGGGAGGAGAGCAGAGTAATGAAGCCAGTTCATAGATGGGTATTATTAGGAGGCCATGATTGGTAAGGACCAAGGGGAAACTTGGCCAGGACGCCGGGGTTACACCCCTACTCTTTTCGAGAAGCGGTTTTATGTCTCATCCGATGGGAACTTAACTATACCAGAATCTAAACTGTTTATACAAATCTGGAAGAGCAATAATCCTAGAACATATTCCTACTTAAACTACTTTCATCTGCCCATTTACATGTTACAGCACTAAGGGAACTTGTGGTTTGTTATTTGTTAACTAGTTTTCAATCCACCCTATTAGTTAACCTTGGTTCCCTAGGTAGCTTTTAACCCAATAATTAACCTTTTACCCTTAATAGGGTATACTATTCCAGTATCATATGTAAAAACAGTACTGTACATTTAAATGACATTTTGCTGTTGTTGTATGTGCTCAGCAGACAACGGGTATGAAAGAAAGAATGAGTTCTGATGGATTTGATCAGAAAATAGCTTATGCCTGGAATACACAATCAAGGGCAGGTTTAGATGCATTTTACTTCCATTTTTGTTCGACTCACTTGCTTAACATATGGCAAGCCTTTTGCATGTCTACATTTGGAACCATGTGGGTCAAAGTCCAGGTCTATGTTATTCAAGTATAAAACAGTTTAAATTCTCAATGAATCCGCACCTTAAAAATGTTATTCTCAAATACCTTTAATACCTTCTCAGCTATTTAAAATAGTAAATTCATTGAAAGAGTTCGAGTATCCTGAAGATCTACACCTACCCTTCAGATTGCTCTTCCTCAAGCATAGACTATCCCTATTGACTGCTTGTGAACTAAAATATACAGGGTTTTAAATGATCTGAAGCCACCTTATTTTGAAAGGCAATGACGATTCATGACAATAGGCTACTGTGTTTTTACTGAAACATACAAGTTATCCAAAGTTAGGTCATTTGGAGAGACAGATAAATTAGGACAGGGCTAACTTGTGTCTTGCGTTTTAACCCAGAAAAGCCAGCAGCACCTCCTCATGTGAAGAAATAAATGTTTTCTTATCCAAATGAATGTTTTAGTTTTAATGTTTGGGCCTTAAAACGGTTGGAAATGGATGCATCTTACCTGGAGAGACAAACTATTTGGCACAACATTATGCAGGAATGTCTAAAGGGAAAAGAAAAGATGACCGATGTATGCATACTTCATGACACTTGCTCAGATTTTTGACAAGCCAAACGCATAGCTGTTTCCTTTTTTTAGCAGTGACAATTTTGTATTAACTTCATCTTTTTTTCTGCTCTTCTAAATTGGCTTCAATAATCTAAATCCACAAAGAATCGAACAGTCCAATGTGCACGTGTTTGCTACATAATGCTTCTTCGAAACGATTCAGAACATAGCAAGAGATTTACTTATATAGCACACACTTTGTTTTGTAAAGTCTCAAACAGCAAACATATAGTCTTGCAACCAATCATTCAGAACAGCTACAAAATAGTCACAGGGTAAACAGTATATTCTAATCCATGAGTGCATGAAGCTCTGCTTTTTCTCACTTGTGCATTAAAAAGTGAAAATCTATTGACTAAAACACTCCACTCAAAGCGCTTTTACAAGTAATGGGGACTCCCCTCCACCACCACCAATGTGCAGCATCCACCATAGTGCGCCAGAACGCTCACCAC